AAGGTATAAAATAATGCAATAAGTTATCAAGGATAAAAAAAATTAAATTGAAACACTGAATTCAAAAATAAGTTGGACAATGACAAATAAAGTCACTGTTAACTAAACATAAAAATCACATATGAAAAAAAAAAAAATAGAAACACTAAATCCTAAAATGTTTGACTGTGACAAATGAAGTCACCATCAAATAAACATATAGAACTTTACATAAAAGTCACGAAGGAAAAAAAATTGAAACACTGCATACAAAAAAAAAAAAAAGTTACAAATGAAGTCATTATAAACTAAACATATAGAACTTCACATGAAAATATGACATTGACATAAGAGGTTTAAACAAAGTAAAATTAGAATCAAGAGTTTCGTCAATGAAGAACAAAACATTTTCTATTGTCGATTCCACATATAATGATTTGAATAAATTTAAATAAATGAATTACGTCAAATCTTGCAAAAACAAAACAATAATCATAAAAACAATGAAAAAAATTATACATTCAATCGATATCTCAAAAGATAAAGAATGTTTTGATGAATTTATAGAATAAAAGATCTCAGAGTTAGTTGAAGATAACGATTAAGAAATAAGAATTTTTCAATGTGATTGAGTAAGAAAATTTGAAAGATCTGATCGGATCTATGAAAGAAATTGCATAAGATCTCACTGGAAATCAATGACAAAATAATGGACCATAAAAAATAGGCGTGAATGACTTAAGGGCAAAAACATAAATAAATAAATAAATAAAATTAAATATTAGTGCATCTAGTTTAGGCTAAGTGATGTAGAAGAAACATTAAAATGTTTAAGCTTGTACTTAATATAAAAAAAATAAAAAATATTTTGACTTTTAATTTTGTGAAAATTGAGGATGGGTCTCCCTAAATGGACTTATAATAACTTGAGTCATGAAAGAAAACTTATTTGTGGGTAAGTTCATATTTAAACTTATATGTAGGTATTTAAGTTCACTTATTTTTTAAATCTCGAAATTATCCCTAACGATGTTAGTTTTATCCAGTTATGAAAAGTCACATAAATTAGATCATTGAGGTATATATGGAAACCATTGATTAAGTTATATATGGAAACCGTTTATTAAATATTATGATAATTAGCGGAAGTTTTATATAGAAGTTATATATTCTGATTGTTATATATGAGAAGTTTAATGTACGAATAAATTATTGGTTTATTAAGTCAAAATCATATCACAAAATTTTCTTAACAACAGTAATGCATAATATGAGGAGGCTGAACAATGCCAACAGAGTTCAGTAACATGAATGTTAATATATAGTAACATTTATGTTACTATATGATTGAAGTTATAATTAGGATCGTGTTATCAGTACAGTCGTATTACTATACCGACACTAATGTTACTATAGTGAATTTTAACATGCAATTCCAAACTTTGAGACATATATTATGTAACATATACTTTAATATTCACAGTAACATCAAAGTTTTGTGTTCAGTAACACATTTAATTTTACAAAATACAAGACAATAGTTTTTTTTTACAGTATCATCAACTTTCAAATAATTTTAGTAAAAATACGATCTACAAATTGAAAATTTATAAAATGACGAGTAGTAACACGCAATTGACAGTTGAATTACGACACTCAACACCAATTGTAAACATCAAGATATCGAGATTTTGAACTCCATTTTTTAATTCACGTACAGTAACATAAACTTTTTCCACAGTAAAACAACCAAGTAATACTCAATTGTCTTGCGCATCAAAAAAATTAACAAAATTAAAATTTATAACACTTTAATTTAGTACTAATGTATGAGTTCTCTTGAATCTTGGTTAAAATGTTAATGTCCACTTTGACAGAATTAAATCCCTAATTGTTATTTTTTTTTTTACCATGTTACTATTTTTTTGTGAGCATGTTACTATTTTTTTAGTAACCATATTACTGTCTTTATTGTGTATGTTTCTATTGTTGTTTTTTAAATATTAATATTCCATATTAATATTGTGTTGATGAAGTCTAAAATAAACTGAAATAGTAAATTAAAATTGTATTTTATAGAATATAATGGATTTGAAATTTGAATATGAACAATTTTTGGTAAATGTTGGTTTCTTGTTTTTCGGATAAAGAAATATTATGGCTTGAAAGATTATAACTAGATTTGAAGGCAATTATGAAATAGATGTATATAACTAGTTATTGTGTCCATAAATGTCATTTATAACATTTGGAAGTGTTATGATAGTAAAATTGACAAAAAATAGACTTAAAACCAAATAAGTTTATTTGACGGACTATTTTGCTAAATAACTCCATATATGGGACGATGTCTAAATTTCCCTATAATTTTCATCCCAGTTCAAAATTCATTGGGTCCGGCCCAAGTAATAGCCTTCCAATCCAATGGGCAAAGAATCGTAATTCCTATGTGGGGATACACTGACCACCCGAATTAGCGGTGATGCTTTAACGTTTGTCTCCCACTGTGAGTGTGTGTTAAGATGTCCTTTGTTCGGGTTTGGAGTGTTCAAGAGACAAGATGAGCCTTCGTTTTCTTAATCAGCCGGCGTTTATGACAATGCCATGTCTAAGATTGATCCATAGGGTCTTTTCGTACTCTACTTCTTCTGCATTGAAATGGGAAGGTGGGATTTCAATGGTGCAAGGAGCCTCCAGAGGCATTGGCCTTGAATTTGTGAGCTTCTATTTCATAACCTATAAAATATGTCTTCCCATTCTGTTCTTGTCACTTTCTTGACGTGTTTCCAAGATTTTTGACATTTCTTGCATTTTGTTATTTTGCTTCAAACATGGGTTTCGTCTGTTCGTTTGGACTGTAAATTGTTGTGACCTTTCTTTTGGATGATGTTTATGGAAAACAGATATTTAATAGTTTACAGCAATTTTATCTGGCGGCAGTTGGAAAATTTTGTTAAATGGGCAAAATTGAACCAGATTAATAGCTCTTCAAGTTGATATTAATTAATTTTATCTTTTTTGTGAAAATCCAATTTTAAGAACTATTCACGCATTCAAATATTTCTTGAAATAACCACTAATAAACTTATCCACAGGTTTAAGATGAGCTGTACACTTAGTTTGCTTGCAGAAAATGAGTTATTTGAGGTAGTCCCATTTCAAGCCGTATAAAAATCACATGATATCAGCGGTTAGAATTAAATTAAATTTCAAGGGGCATATTCAGATTTGGTTTTTGAACATGGGGGGGTGGGGGGGGGGGTGGGGGTGAGCAAGCACTATTTTTAGAGGGACTTAGTCAAAAGCACTAGAAGGTATGGAAGTGGATTTTGCTTTCAAGGGGGGGGATGGCCACCCTTTCTCATGAAATTTAATAGCTTTGACCCTGCAGCTCTGCATTCTTGAAGTATAGCATGTTTTGTATAAATTATTATTCTTGTCGGGAATCTGTGAGCTTTGGGGATTTAGATAGTAAATTCATTGGGTTCTCCGCCGGTTTTTTCCCAGATTACCAACTCGGTCACTCTTGGATTTTATGTACATATCAATTGTATGTTAATTATATGTACTCACATACTTTAATTACTTTTCACGGATTTCATACCAATTGTGATTTTTCTTTTATAATTTTTGATCCCTACTGTTGTTTATTTCTTCAAGTATACTCCGTAATCAATTTGAGGCCGATTTGAGTAACTTGTACAAACAAAATACCCTTTTAAGCACAAAAGATGCATCAACACTGGTGGGGCTAGAATTTTATTCTTGAGGGAGCTGGAATAAGGTATAAAATTTAGTTCCTTAAGAATCATACAATTGTCTTCATATGCTTATTCAAAGCAATCTGTAAATTTCTTACAATTTTAATTTGTGTCGTATTATAATTTGAGCGATTATCACTTGGTTTAGATTTGCTAATTTAACAAAACTTTGGAGCTCTGATACAAGTATTTTAATGGACTCAATACAGTGTTTTAAGGAAAGGTTAGGATTTTCAAATACTTTCCCGAAGTTGCTAAAATTATTGTTTAAAATTACCTAGTGAATTGATCTGCTGTCACTCATCAATGAAAGAAAACAGTCGAATTGATCTTGCTATCAGATTGGAATAAGGAAATTAGAATGGAAAATAAATATCACACATACAAGAGACATTAATGTTTTCACAACAGTAGAAAAATAAAGAAAAGGATTCAATACATCTAACACATACAAAGGGGTTGTGCCACTGGAGATTCTTTTAAAAATATTAAGCTTATAACTACAACTAATGATTGAGAGGTTTAGCTTAACAGGGTATCAGCTTCAAATAGAAGCTGATTCTGAGGTTATGGTGCATATGGTGCTTAAAGGGCATATAAGGGCTTGGAAATTCTGGGAGATTTTGAGGCAGATTTTGGAGTTGCTTGGTAAAATGAATTTCAGTTTGGCTCATGTTTATAGAGAGGCGAATGTGACTTTTTTGCAAATTTGGCTGTGCAGAATGGCTTCTCTACTGATTTCTCCCAGGATTTGTGCATCCCTTTACAGGCGAAGATGCTGCTGTTGCATGGCCAGCAAGGAACCAGAGTGCTTGGCCAAAAAACAATCATTCTTCGATTCTTTGTATTTTCATATGTCTGATAAGAGTTGGTTTGCGTCTTGTAATTTTTTGAAACATGCAAATAAGTGTTGATTTGTTTTTAAAAAAAAAATGATGTCACAACATTTAGAAAAAAATAAGGAAATGAAGAAAATATAGGTTACACAAAAAAAGGTGCTGATGTCATGAAATATTCTTTCAAAAATATTAGTGTTACCTTCTAAAAATGTTAGTAGAGTAAAGTGCCATTACTTATTGGAGTTGAATCCCTAATTTACCTTGCATTTGGGTTTGGATTACCTAACAATCATTTCGCCTTTCTGTAATGGCCACTATTTGTGACCATTGCAGCAGAATAAAGAATATAATAAGCCTCACGTCCATTGCCCTCCCAATTAGGTTCAGTTAGGGTTTCATAATTCCTACTTTCCCTCTCAAAATGTGTTTAACATTGGTGAGCTAATGTTTTTATTAGTTAAGACTTGAAATCTCCACCCCCAACAGCATGGCTAATGACAGTGGAGGAAGCAAATATATTCTTTTAATTTCTTCAACTGTTTATTAAACATTGTACAATCTAATAAATTTTAAATTGGGTCATTGATATACATATGAAAAAACTGATACTAATGTAGCCAAACCCAACATATATTGTATGACAATAAATCAAATAAAATATAGTAAACTAATTCACATATCCTAATTGTCCAAGAAATTGCTTTAACTTTCTAGACTAGCCAAATATTAACTTTGAGTCATTGGGAGTGATGGACAGTTTATCAGTGAAGGTTGTTTAACAATTGACGTCAAAATAATATTTTAATTGCACAAGAACTCCTAAATAAATAAACCCCTACATTTATCCTCTGTGGATTCTCGAGTATCCTAGACTCCTAATCATATCGGTTGTAAATCCTTTGTGTACCTGAATGTATTCGAAATTGAAAAAATATCTAAATTATTCAGGACTCATCCTGCTATACCCAACAAGATGGCTTGATTTGATTTTTTATTTTCATTTTCAAGTGGTTGAGCTCATGGAAATAGCAGTCAAATTATTTTTAATAAGTAATTGTCGTAGTTTGTCAATTGTTGTAATCAATGAATTGGTCACATAGGTAAGTGTTGGGAAATTCATTGTAATTCCTCGAGGTCACAATGTATTTTGATATCTAAACTAAATCCATAGACAAGTGCTTATCAAGATTGAAGACCAAAGTTAGATATGGAGAAAATGTTCAAGCTATGAAACAATTTGAGAACTTCTTGGATCCTATCAAGTTTAAGTTAAGTAAGACGACCTAGATATCTAGTTGTCCTAGTTTGGTTTAACTTAAGTTGTTTAATTAGATATGAAGAGTATGTTGATTAGTTTGTAACATGACTCTTGTAATTTTTGTGTTAAAACGTTTTTGAAACTTTAATGGTTTAGTTTTCGAAAATGTGTTTTGAAACTGAGTCATGGGATGGAGCTTTTTGGGTACCACTCCTTGGTACTAGTTGAAAAGAGTCTTGGTTTTGTAGAAAACTAGTGGATATCGCTCTCCAGCCATTCTCTGGATGTTATTGAGGTCGGTTCTTATTTCACACTCCCAAGCTTTAATTTAAATTACTATTTGCCATCATGAATGAATTACAATTGCATGGCTGCAGCCTAACATATGGAAGTGGTCCAAATGGAAATGTATTTGTTCTGCTGTGTAAGATATAAATAGTGGAAATCTCTACCATTTGAATCTCGGCTGATTAGAGCTGTGTTGAATTGTACCCCGCTTTTTTGCTATTTTTCAATAAAGAGGAGTTACTTTGTGAAGTGTGACAGAACAGATTAATATTAATGGCTTCTTGCTGCGGATATGACAGCACCAGGGTTGTGTTCTCTCTCGTCATCTGCCATAAATCTATCTTTACAGCTAGAGTTGGAAGTTAAATCCGCGCACTTAATTTGAATTATCCCCATTTCTCCGTCACAAGAAGTGTATATTACCACCTCTTGTTTGTTTTTTTGAACTTGATTATTCCATTTAGTTTGATTATTACAATTTCAAGATTCCTGGTAGAAGCTTTTGCTGTTCTGTGCAAATTGACGGGTATTTGTGAACTTGTTCCAACATTGGCACCTGTGTTCCCATTCTTGCCTTCTTTTTTAATTCCTTATTCTGTTATTATATGATTCTAAATATGGAGACAAATTTTCTTGTTGACCCTTGTCAGATCCTTTGTGCTAGAAAATTACTTCTACTGCTATTGCATTTGTTAGTTTAACCTCAAAGAATATTACTTTCCATTCATGCAACAAATCCAATGATCCTTAAAGCAAATCTGACTTTTGTTTCTTCCTCTTATAGGTAAAACAATTGCTGGAAAAAAATGAGAAAGGGCAGGTTATCGCTACTTGCCGTAACCCTAATGGGTCAGCTGGCTTGCTTGAGTTGAAAAGTAAGTTTGCTGAACGGCTTGACCTGCAACAATTGGATCTTACAGTTGAAACCACCATAGAGGTTTGTTCACTTTCTAACTGCCTATTCTTTAATCGAAATATCAAATAATGGAACTAAACTTAGTGGCATTATCTATACTAATAATAAATATCAGCATCTGTGAAAAAAAATTAATTTTCTAGTTTTTCCCTAATTATTATTATAAAATAAATTATACCCACATATTTATTTTCATCCAATTCTTATTTTTTATACCTATATGATTTCCAAGTTCTTTGGGACTCTTTTATTAGTAGAATTTTCATTCTAGATTTTTTTGGACTCATTTATTAATAGTACACTTATATACAATTTTTTATATCTATGTCTATATTTGTATGCAGTAAAGTCCAATCTATATTCTATTATTATATACATGTAGTTACCAAATTGGATTCTACATTCCAATATAGATCATATTTGATTTTTTAGTATGCAACAATATCATAATATTATAATATAAACAATAGTATTACAATTTAATCAATCTCTTTGACAAAAAATGAAATAAATTTATAATATAATTAATTAGAAATGTAATATAATATAATAATTAGATGTGCAAATACTCAAATCTTACAATAAAGCTTATTTCTAAACAAAAAAGGAAATGTCAAAAGAAACCTAGAGATACGTAAAAAAATTACAAATTATGTACTCAAAGAGGGGTAGAATAAAAAAATAATTAGATTTGGTAATAATTAAAATAAGAATTAATTATTCGATACATATTTTATTATTCAATTTAATTATGAATATAATTTAGTTTTTTATAAAGAAATTATTTAAATATATTCACGTGCAATGCACTTTGTGTATTCCTTGTGTCTTTCAAAGATCACAGTATGATCATTTGCTTATTTATGATTTTTTTGGTTTGGTCAAAGATAGTGTAAGAGAATATTATTTGGGATTGGGGTGCAAAAGCCAGTGGTAAGATTCCAAATTTTATTTTTACTTCTTACACAGTAAATTAATTGAATCTTTTTTTTTTTTTTTGTATACTTGCTATGTCAATTCTGCTATTCACCAAATATAATGTCAATTATCAGGAGTCAGCGAAATCAATTGCAGAGAGATATGGCTCTTTAAATGTTCTGATTAATGCATCTGGCATTCTTTCAATACCTGATGTTTTGCAACCAGGTACGGAGGTTTCTATATTCTTAGTTAATGATTCTCCATGTCACAAAAAATTCAACAATTCAACACTAGTACTTAACGTTTTATTTGATAAAATCATTCTTTCAAATTTTTGGATTCTGTGAAGTGATTATCCTTACGTTCTTCAATTTCAGTACAGAAACAACGCTTAGCAAATTACAGAGATCATCCTTGATGCTTGCTTATGAGGTTAATGCAGTAGGTCCTGTTTTAGTGATGAAGGTATAATCACTCAACTGCTAGCATATCTCTGGCAACAGACTGTTATTGTATCTTTTGAGAAGTTTTTTCTGTAGAGAAATTATGGTCAATGTTAAAGGTTTCTGTTCCATGGCATTCTAAAACTTGTGAAGAATGCCTGTTGGATAAGAATTGACAAAGCATGGGTGTCGAACATCTGTCATTTATGCCTGCTGTTGAAAACATACCCAACAGGCATGTCTGTCTAGGTAAAGAAAGGAGCACACGATTTATTCATGGACTGAGGATTATTAACAGAAACATATGCTAAGCTCTGATGTAGGGAATGCTATGTTATAAACACTTCACTTAGAATAGAGCTCAGGGAAGAGAAGTTAAAGAACCTAGACAATCCGCACCTCCCATGCATTGGTATTTCGAACTTTGCATTTCAGTAGAGTTTATAATGTGACTCTACTTCGTGCATCTTATTTGTACAAACAGCATATGTGGCCTTTGCTAAGCATTGGAGGCCGCTCTGGGACTGACAGAGATGTTGCAGTGATCGCCAACTTAAGTGCTAGGGTTGGATCCATTGGGGACAATTGTTTAGGAGGGTGGCACTCATATCGGTCTTCGAAGGCTTCCCTTAATCAGTGTATGTTTTCTTCTGTTGTCTCATATTTAATATCTCTCTCTCTCATTCTCTCTCTCTCCCTCCCTCCTGGAAGCATGTATGGTAACCACTTCCCACAAACAAGGCAGCATAAATTATTTAAAGTACAAACACATTTGTTCATCTTCCTATTGGGACAGATTGCTTGGAATGCAAACAATGGCAGAGGCAGAATTTTTTGGGAGGTGGGAGGTGCTATAGAAAAAGTTATATAGCATAAAGGGGACAAAATTTAATTTCTTAAAATCAATGGTGGGGACCAAGGTCCTCCATTCCCCCTTCCCCAACGCCCGGCCCTTTTTTTTTTTTTTTTTTTTTTGGGGGGGGGGGATGGGTCAAGGGGAGGGGGTCCTGTATATGGCTCTTGGATCTGGCTCTGGCTCTGGTACCAAAGCACAGAGCAACTCAATTTAAAATACATTAACTACTGAACCAAAATATTGTTCTTAAAATTCTAGTAATTTTATTTATTTATTTATTTTTCTATACTGACATTCTAGAAATAGTGGAAAGGTAACAAATTAAATTGATAGTTTAACAGTTAATTAGTTAAAGTAAAAGTCATAGCACATTTATTAACAGTGCAGGATACAAATATTGCAATTCTTGTACATGATGCAACAATAGACAGTTTGTACATGTTAGCGATACTTCTTGGTCTAAAAGAAAGGAAAAAAGTAAAGAAAACTAAGAAACACTTTAGCAATTAGGCCTACCACGTAACATTTTAAATTTGCCATCTATCATCTATGTAGGCCTATTATCCCATTTTACTGCATAATAGAGTAGTGACATACCATGACGACGTCCCACTCCATTTTCAGTCTGCATTCCACCTTATTGTCCTAATGATAAGAATTCTCTGTTAGAGGTTGAGATTAGCATAGCTCTCTGATAAACATTTTCTTTGGCTGATGACAATATTTATTGGGGAAATTCTTGACAGGATACTGTGTCTTTTGTTCATGTTTCCAACTTTCTGTAAATTTTCCAAGGATTTGAATATATTTGCTTCAAGCTTCAAATAGCCAGCCATAAATTATAATTGACTTAAATTTTAGTTTTCTTTTTACCATGTGACCCCGGTAGGAATATTGTTTCATAGGATAAGCATCCTTTACTTGTTAGAATTTTGCTCCTGCAATTTGAGATCCTCATTGTACTTTCCATCGGATATTTTGTCTACAACCTAAGAAAAACACTCATTCAAGCATGTATTTGATGCCATGGATTGGTATTTTATTTTATTTTTGTGCCATGCCACTTCTCTGTAAAATTGCTTAATGCAGACGGTTCACATTGTGCAACTTTTATCTTTAGGAATTCTTATACAAGAAAAATGCATCCTTTCCATCAAGGGTTTTTTCTCCCCCGGCTCTTGAGGCACAACAAAATTAAAAGCCAACATGTCAACATTCTACTTTCTAATTATCTTGATGCACTCTATGATGATAGCCTTGTGGACAGGAAGTTTGATTAAAACTTAAATCATGATTTAATAGTACATCAAAACCAATTTGGTAGAGCAGTTCTATATTTTTGGACCCTGTAAAAAATTGTATTTAGTGAGTATAGTCTTTGCATCATTGGCCTTTGGTGGAGTAAGTATTTTCAAGATAAATGACTATTGGTTGTGTCCAAATTCTTCATAATATATGTCTGCTGATGCTTGCAGTGACAAAAACTGTTTCAGTGGAATTTGCACGAAAGAAGGATCCAATTGTGTGTCTTTTACTGCATCCAGGCACAGTGGACACGGATCTTTCTAGACCTTTCCAACGAAATGTTCCAGAAGGCAAGCTTTTCACCAAAGAGTTCTCTGTCCAGAAGCTCTTAAGCATCATCAGCAATGCAAAGAGACATGATAATGGCAAGTTTTTTGCCTGGGATAGTCAAGAAATTCCTTGGTAACCTAGCATATTTTGTTTGAATAACAAACTCTAGACGTTTCTGGTGTCGGGTTGCATTTGAAATGCTCAGTTATTCAGATTGCTATTCACATATTTAGTGAGGGGGAATATAACTCTATCTGCTGCTTAATTTCTGATGCAAATATTTTTTATTCTGGAAGCTTATATTTTGTGTTTTGCAAAATGTGTTGTGTTCTTACTTTTGTTTTCGTGTTTTATTATCAGTTGTTAAAAATAGTACACTGGTTATGCTATGATATAATGAAGATTTGAGAAGTCGACACCGAATGTTCTGATGTTTATTAGTTGAATTGGAATTGTGGAAGGTGTTCCTTCTACGGGTGTGATCTGGAGGACCCCAAAGGTTGAGGAAGCAGAGCTTCATGAAACAAACATTACTCGACAACCTGTGCTTTTCTGCACTATTGGGTAGTTCCCAAAACTTGCTTTTCTGAAGAACAGTGGAATATTATGATTGAAATGCCGGAAGAAAGCCTAAAAACGTCACATAAAGAAGCTGCAATGGTATAGTTGCAATGTCATGGCCATAACTGCATTGCCCTCCCTCGTTGTTTATGAAAGTCTTGTCAGAAATGTGAGGAACGCAACCCAGATATGGCGATAGTATACACCGAATTCTTACTGCGTTCTTGGGTACGATGAGGGGTTTTTAGACCCCAAGAACTACCGAGGTCCAATAGATTTACTAGTGGATGATTGAATTTAAGCGAAATTAATACAATTTGAAACAGATAGTATCCTAAAAACATGTGCACCATACATTGAATAAAAAAATTCGGACTCACAAAGTGATGAGTGGTACACATGTATTTAGGATATAAAATTTGAGTTTTGATTTGGACAGTCGAGAAGGGCTCAAATTTTTAATTTCCCCCACACCCAAAAAAAAAAAAAAAATTTGCTCGCGTGCGCATATACACGAAAATTAACCAAATGGTCATATCTGACTTTGGAACCCTATAATTCAATATTGTCACTTTATTTATATAAACCATGAGTCTAAGCAATTCGGCCGAGTCGTCCAATACATCTCTCAGTCAAGCCCGAATATAACAACATGGATCTTTTAGAATGTTCAATTTGTTTTTCTTGACCAATACATCTCAGTGCCTTTTGAGCCGATAACTCTATTATGACTATAGACCATGGTTTAGGAAGTTATCAAAATTCATATCGCCGGCTTTCAATCACTGTACTAAAAAAATATTTTTGAGACCTAAAAATGTAACCTATTTTGTTAGATCTAATAATGTGCCGGCAAGCATATCCCTATATTTCCCAACAGCTTTCTGCCTTACCTAGTTCATAGTCTTATTTCATTCTTGGGTTGCAGTGGTCTGTTCTGATCGATTCTATTATTGTGGCTATATTTGTATAGCATATCCCTTCTCAGTCAGTCGAAAACACACAATGCAAGCAATCACTCTGATTCCTTATTCCTTTTTGATGAATACAAATATTACCGAAAGTAGTAGTATAAGATAACTTTCGTGCCGAGCAATGCTATAAGAACCTAATCTAATACAGTCATTGAATTAGTTGCGAGTTCCATTATTAGATGAAACTCACTTTCAATCCATTGATTGTATTGAACTAGGGTCCTAGATTGAGTAGTCAAATTAGGTTCTAATAACATTTTTCATAGTCTTAATAGCAAATCTTAGAGTAAGGATCCATTTGTTTTGCGGAATACTAGTAAAAATGCAAGAAAGAGAAATTTTTTAAAAATTTTATGTGTTTAGTTAGCCTGAAATGGAAAACTATGGAAAAAAGTAATTTTATTTAATCCTTAGATTTTTTCAAAGCCAACCAACTTTTTTTTTCTTGTAAAAAATACAAGGAAATACAAGAAAGTAGCGATCTATAACTAACTTCTCATGTTACCCTTATTTTTCTTAAAATATTTTATTGGTTATATTAATTTTAAAAAATCATGGTATGAATTTAGTTAACAACATAATTTGATTCAAAGACCTTCATGCTAGCGTTTGTCCTAAAATTAGGTTTCGGGCCACTATTTTCAAATTTTTTAACTTTCAATTATAATACATATTTTCTTCTTTAGACTGATTTAATATAATTAAAAGTAATTTAGATAATTAGAAAAAAAATAATAATTTTCCTTTCTTTCAAGCAATAGAATAATTTTTTTTAAAAAAAATCTTCTTATAAGTTTTTCATGCAAACCAAATATATTTTCTATCACTTTTTTTTCCCTTCACTTTCTATTATTTTTATTTTTCGTCATTCTTTTTTTCTTAGTGGTAACCTGGAAAAAAAAAAAAAAAAAGAAACAATACTAATCCATTTTCTTCCTAACCTGGAGTCCCCAAAAAAGAATTTTTATCAATGGCAGAACCCACTTTCTTCCTTCAACGTGCCAACAATGAAACAACACTAATCCATTTCTTGAAAATAATAGAAATTACCAGAAAGAAAATTAGGAACAAAAAGCCCTAACAAGTCAGGAAAAAATAACTACAAAAGTGATATTCACACAAACATAAAAAACATCAACAAAAGTTAAAGACTACACTTTGTATCAGCCACCAGTTCGGATCAACTCCTTGATGTTCTTCAAAACTGTAGTGTTGGATTGAAGTTCACCCTCTTCTGCTAGGGTTTGAACAAATTTCTTGGGAACCAAACACTTCTCCATTGAAGACAACTTCTCTTGCAAGAAAGGAGATCCAAGAAGATCTTGGAGTTCTTCAGTATAAAATGATTCCTCATTGTCCTACACACACACATTGCCTGTCAATTATGCTTAAATGGGATACAAAATTGTTTATTCTTTTATTCCGATTTTCCCTTTGTCCCTTTTTATTCCTAGCAACTCCTCTTTTCTCCCTAAACATGTACAATGTATTCAACATTTTAAATTTAACCTCTTCCCTAGTTTTCTTTTAATAAATATTTATTAAAAAAAAACTCTTCTTTTGAGTATAAGAAAAGGTAGGTTCTATTCTGGAAGAGGATTCCTTCTTATTGCGCTATTAACTTTGATGTTGAGGCGCGCCATAGCAGGTGAAATATATATATTTTTTTCCTCATTAGAACTTTCAAAAAACCAAAAATTATGATGAATTGGTTTCTTTTTTATTAACAAACTAATAACTAGAAAATCATAATTTGCATTCATATGAGAAATAAATGCAATAAAATTAGGTTTTTAACCAAAAAGATTATTTTTGTCGGTAAGTAAATGAATTCTATTCCTTAAAAAAAATTATTTGTATGAAACCCAAAACATGTCCGAAATGATGCACTCAGCAAATCTCATCAAGGAAGGCCTCATCATAACTTAGTGTTCCTAAAAAAATAAATCGTATCGAGTCGTTTACGGGTTGATTAAACCCTCTAATTTTGTTGTAATTCGTGCGTGCTAACTGATGATGATGTCATATTTTGATACCTTTAGATACAAGTAACAAACGAAATTACCTGAATTGACCCCATGAATTCGAGAATTCCAACTTGGGCCTGCAAGTATTTCACATACTTGAAAGCAGTTTGAAACATTTCAGCAGTGTTCATATTCTGTCCACCAGGGATAAGTTTCCCGAGCTCTTGAGTCTTCTCAGTTATCTTCCTCCTCCTCTGCCGAGCCGCAATGCTCTGCGTCGACAAGGTCCGCTCATTGGACTTCTTCACACTCTCAACTGTTCCACAATCATAAACCGGTGGACTCTGAAACTGAAATTCCGGCGTTGGGCTGAGAACTTCCGGCAACAACTCCGGCAGCACCGGGGGATTCGGAACAAACCAAGTACATAAACCAGGTGCACAGTCTGAGTAGTAGCTATTTTCAGGGGTCTTTTGACATTTTATGTGTTCAAAAGGTCTGAAATCTTGGAACGGTAAGATTTCTGGTGAGAGGGAGTTCAAATAGCCATATGGTGGAGAGAGAGAGGGGAGTTGCTGAGTATAGTTGTCTGAGTAGAACAACTCTTCGGGCTCGAAGATTGGATGGATAGCAATGTCTGAGAGAGCTAAGTTTTCAGCGAAACCAAAAGTTTCCGGAGGCAACTCTGGGATTGTGTGCATGAAGACATTCAAGTCTGCGTTGAGGTGCTGAATTGGCCCCCAGTTGGAGTAGTAGCTCAAAGCCATGGAGAACTATATACGTGGGAAGAAAAACTTTGGTTATTAGTGCATGTACTGTATAGTAACCTTAAGTTGAAGCATGAAGTGCATGAAACTTACTTAAAAAAAAAAAGAAGAAATGCATGAAACTTAAGGATAGATGAGGAGAGAGCAAGAAACTAATATTCCTCCCAGCCAAAAAAAAAAAAGAAAAGAAAACTAATGTTCCCAACTTCCCATGATAGAGAAGTTAGTGTAATGACAAACTATAGAGAGAGATAGAGACAGAGGGAGAGGATATGACAGATTGTGAAGTCAAAGACAATGAGAGAGATACCTGAGCAAGAAGATACCGTCCTAGTCTCTTGTCTTCTACTGAACCTTGGCAAAATTACAAATTAAAGAGAGAGAGAAAGAGATGGGGCGTGGGAGAAGTTATGGGAGTAATGAAGTGAATAATGATAGATAAAGTAGAAACTGACTCCTTTTTATTAGGAGGCGACGGTTGTAGTTGGGGTTTTAGTCCCTACTTGTACACAAAAAGTGACGGCTGGTTTTTATCCAACTCTCTCTCTCTCTCTCTGGAGTAAATCTCTCTCTAGATAACCGTTCCTTCTACTATCAGATTATTTTTCTTTTTTAATTAATATTTAAGTTACTAGTACAACCGGTTCTAACCCAAGTCAATAAGTTGCTCAAATTGGTCTAAAATGGTTCAATCATAAGAAACACTAACCCAAATCAGAAGATCATTGGATCGTCATGAAGTTGATCTATTCATCTGAAATTTCACTTTTAATTGTTCCACCCCCCTCCCCATGTATCTACTGTTCAAAGAAAAAAAAATGTTACGCAATGAACTTAGATTTGTCGATATTATAAACAATTTGCATATTTTCTCCCAAAATAGAGGATTGCAATATCCATGGGGGCGAAGACTCCTATGCTGGTCCGGGCCAAGCTTGAGGTAAGTAAAGATGGATCGGTTTATCTGGTACGGATCCGCATTAATGTGATATTAGTGGGCAAATGGTAAGGGTGCAACTTGAGCGGGTTAACCCGATTTTAACCCGAGCTTAATCTAAAAAATTAGGATTTGGGTTAGGGTTTTTAATACTTCGATTGGGTTTGGATCAAAAAATCTCAACCCGAATTCAATTTGAACGGACCTCGGATTGAGCCATCGGGTTCACGGATTAAACCCAAATATTAAAATCAGGCTCAACTCGATTTAATAATGGGGTTCAACCCGAATTAATATTATATAAATACAATTTTATCCTAGGGTTAATCTCAACTCAACTCTACGCCTCCCTTAAACCCTCACTCACTCTCAGTCTCTCTCGGTCTCTCAGTCTTACTCTCATTCTCAGATCCGAGGCTTCCAAAGAACAATTGCGGTAACTATGCAAGTCGACAAGAATCAAGAAATTTGAGCTCTAGAATCACATCTGTGGGGTTTCTTGATTATTGAAACAATTTAACCAGTTAAGCTACCTTTCTCTCTATTGTTAAAAAATGAAGCTGAAGTTGTTGTCATAAAGAAACAACCATGAAGCTAATGGGAATCATGTTCAGGATTTTCATTGTATTGTGTTTTGTATTCATCATTAAAGATTAATTTCATACGTTGGTTACCATGCCATTCTGTTGTTTATGTGCAATTATTGCTTAATTGCTATTTGGAAGCGAAGTTGTCGATTTATTAGAAAGCGAAGTCCTCTTGATTGAAGTAACCCAAAATCAGCCCGTAAAACAACCCAAAATCAGTCCAAAATCATTAACTCGAATTCAACGCGAATCCGCCCAAATTAAACTCAAGTAGTGTTCGAGTTGAGTTTCTCAACCCGATGTAGGGTTAGAGTTATGGTTGAAAATTATATACTTAGGATTAGGCTAGAGTTGACTGTCCAACCCGTTCAACCCACCCGAGTTGCACCCCTAGCAAATGGTTAAGGTTGACAACAAAATTAACATGTTTGGATGACATGGTTTCCGCAGCTAACTTAGAACAAATTGAATTTAGGAGACTGAATATGATGACAAGCTTTCAAGAGTTTGGTGTGAGAATGCTTAGTTGATATTCTAAGTCTTCAACAATGGAGGAAACTAGTGTGTTATCCAAACCTATAGTAGTGTGAAGGTTAAGGAGAGTGTATGAGATATTGTACTACTGATTCAGTTAAGAGTAATATTTTTTTTATCCTTAACCTGTTGCTAATATGATTCAAATGAAAAAATTCAAATTAATAAAATTAAGTTTAAGTCAAAAGTTGACGATATTAGTTTATAATGAGCCAAACCGTATCATGATGAAGTTAATCTATTGATTGAAATTAATCAATGCCACTTCATATTGTTCCACCAACGTTATCCAATGAATTCAGTGCAATTTTTTTTCAAAAGTAAAAAAAAAACAAAAATAATGTCCATGTGAACAAACATTTTTTGGGCAGGGCGGGGCATTGGCGGGCCCAATTCTGCGCCGTGATGTTGGGTAGGTTGGACTTGAAATGAGCCCCTAGCCCGTGAATGTTGCTGGTAGGCTGGGCCAAGCTGGCCCAAATTTTCATTTAAAAAATATTGAAGTTATAGCTTGAAATTGTAATTTATAATTTAAGAGTTCGTTTGGTAACGTTTACGGTTTTTAATTTTTCAAAAAATAAAAAACATAATTAAAAAATAAAAAATATCTTTCTTTCCTTTTTTGACAACCGCCCCTCGTTTACAAAACGATAACAGAAAAAAATAAAATAAAAACAATTATCAAACGAGTTTTTTTTCTTGTTTTCTCTAAATATCAAAATAAAAATGAAAAACATAAACGTTACCAAACGGAACCTAAAAAATTTGTTAAATTTTTACTCTGACTCGGTTAATTACCTCTTAAGTGTGACCCATTGATATGGGGCACTCACTCTAACAAGGAATGAGTTTCATCCCGCCATTCCTGACGTTAAGAAAGAATTAAGTTAGTGATGTTTTTCTAATAAGATGATCATCCCGTCGTTCCTGACTTCAGGAAAGAATGCAATAAGGAATGCCCTTTTAAAAAGTCTCTCATTTTGCCATTTCTGAGGTTAGGAAAGAATGAAGGTATGACCTTTTAGTAAGAAGTCCATCTCGCCATGGGCGAAGTCATAAATGTATTCTTGGGTGGACGCAATTAACCAGCAAAATTTAATTTTTTTTTCCAATTAATAAAAGTATTGTGGTATTTTTTTTATTACATCGTGTTGCATATTTAAATATTTATTAAATACAAAAAGGTCAAACACTAATATACGTAGTCTATGCAAACAATACTCAATAAAAAGAGGTTAATTACAACCCTTTACAAAAAATGAGGCTAATTACAGTCATGTACAAATTAATAATGTTATCGAAAATGTCTTTCTCTATGTCAGTACTTAAGTTAATAGTAATCAATTTCAAGTTAAGTTTGCATCAATTTTAAAAAATTATAGCAATTTCAAATAATTATGAATAATATAAGATTTCGAGTTATCAAAAAAAATAGGCTCAATCACTAGTCGTAACTTTTTAACATATTTTCACATTGCTTTGAGTGAAAAATGTGTCCGATTATTTTTTTGCACTAGATTTAGTTGGTTCAAACTTATTAGAGTGGGTTCAATATATTTTGTTTTTGGTCATGAAGGTGGGCCTAATTCTAACTACCCAACAAAAAATCGTAAATATACAAAGGTACAAATTTTAATTTATTTTTCAGAATTAGGTGATTGAATACGATGAAAATCAATGACTTTGGTGAAAGACATCACATGAACTTTTTCTGCAGGGTGTATTTAGCTAATAATGACAACAGCAGTAACCAAATTAATACAAAGACAATGAATCCAAATTCAGTAATGTTGTGCTAATTAAAATTAGATATCAAATAAATAATTCAAATAACATGACAGTTGTTGATATGTCTTATTTGTCTTTTATTTGGAAAAAACGAAAAAAATTTGTTGACATTAAATCAACAACTGTCATGTCATTTAGACTCTTTATTTGGTCCCTAGTTTTAGTCGGTGTATCATTACTGATCCAAATTTTGATGTGGACACTGTTAGGTAAGTGTTGCTTTCAATTAATTCAAATTTGAGGTGGATTTATAACTTGAATGAGGACAGTTTATCAATTTTCTAAATTAGATACAGTCAAAACACGTTATGTATATTGATTGGGCCCTTATTATGTATATTCTTTTTAAGGATGAGAGGGGCAAACAAACATAACCATCACAAAAATGGATTGAAAATGTGGTAACTCATAATTGATTGGATGGAATCCAATCGACCCTTATTATAACTTTTATTTAATTTGAATAAAAAAAAATCAATTGATTCACCCAAAAAGAGATAAAAATATGAATCAAATAATGTGATATTGACATACTTAATACATTTAAATGAATAAAAATGGGACCAAAAATATTTGTATATTAGCATCATATTATTAGGTTTTTATTTTAGTTTTTGACCAATTTAGCATTCCACTAATATGTGGGAGATTAAAAAAGGGTTTTTTTTTTTTTTTCAACGGTCATAGGTGTTTGGATCAGTTTATACTGATTTCGATTAATCATTTTCTCAATCCGATTAGAGGTAGATTATCCACACAAAAATTAGGATATTCATGAAGGATAAATCTCTCATAACCTGACCACAAGATATTGTCCAAATTTAAATTCAAAACGTTTGAACAACTCATCCCTACTATCACCTGAGCGACCCTTGAAATTAAAGGGCCACTCTTTGACAATGGTACTTTAATCTAAATTATCTTTATCTTGCGTCGAATCATGTTGGATCTCATGTACTATATCTAGGTTGAGTTTGATGAACAGAATCTGTTCGCAGCACATCATCCAACAAACCAAATTCAAGCATAATTAAGGTTCAAAAGTAAATGTTGAAAGGAAAAATTTTCAACCACCTAATTGTGATCACAAACCTTAAGGTTAACAATAGTTGTCTAATGTTGGGTTCATATTGTATGAAACTCGTGTAATATTAAAATTTAGTCAAATTAGACGTCACTCATTTATATTTAGTTTCATTTTTTGTCTGCTTTGTAAACGTGCATAATTCGTGTTTAATGCATTTGAGTCGTGTTTAGATTGATTAATTAGTGTCAATCTCTTAATTTAACAGATCTAACAAGGTCAGCTTGTGAGTCTAAAATTGCCAACCCCACCCTCCCTCAGGACTATCCGCCAAGTACATATCCATGCACTGGGAAATTAGATGCGTTTTGAGCAATGCTACAAAGATTAAAACTTTGACTTGATGATGTACTTGTTATATTTGTCATTAATTTAACGGTAAATTTTAGTATTTATCATGACCGCTATCTATTCAATGGTAATATTCATCGAGTCAGTTTTTTCCTTTGTTTTTTCTCCCTTCCTTTTGCGAGAGTGGTCTATTTAAAGACACCATCACACACCTCAGTTACATATCACAAGTTCATTTTAACGCCACACACCACAATGGCTTTGCTTATCTTTCTTTTCTGCCTCCCTATCCTCTTCTTTCTCATACAGAAATACAAAAAACAACTTGGAAGAGACACCCATCTTCCACCAGGTCCTCCAGGTCTTCCCTTCATCGGAAACTTACACCAACTCATGAATAACCCAAATCCACACCACTACCTATGGCGACTCTCAAAAAATACGGCCCTCTCATGACTCTGCATCTCGGTTTCAAGCCGACCCTCGTGGTTTCTTCTGCAAAGATGGCCAAAGAAGTCTTGAAAACCCATGATCTCGTATTCTCTAACCGGCCTTCGCTGCTCTGCCAGCAAAAGCTCTCTTACAATGGCTTGGACATCACTTTCGCGCCATACAATGATCACTGGAGAGAGCTCAGAAAGATTTGTGTTCTTCACCTTTTCAACTTGAAGAGGGTTCAATCTTTTCGTTCCATTCGGAAACATGAAGTTTCCCGAACGATCAAAAAAATTGTTGCTTCTACTTCTGCTTCTAAAGAATCTAAACTCATCAATTTGGGTGAAATAACGTTTTCTCTCACGAGTGCGATTATTTGTAGAATTGCTTTTGGAAGAAGATATGATGATGAGGGTCGTGAGAGAAGTAGATTTCATAGCCTCCTTGATGAAACTATGGTTCTTGCAGGAAGCAATTTTGTGTCGGACCACTTTCCTTTTATGAGTTGGGTTAATAAATTCACAGGTATGTCAAGTAGGCTTGAAAAGGTTTTCAAGGAACTTGACTTGTTCTACCAAGCAATTATTGATGACCACCTTAATGAAAAGAGGGACAATTCCGGCCAAGGGGATATTATTGATGTGTTACTCCATCTCAAGAAGGATAACACACTTGCCATTGACATCAAGTTCGATCACATTAAAGCAGTCCTCATGGTACGTAATGTTTCTTCTTAAAAGGAATATCAATTGTACTCATTAGCATAAAAATGACAAAATGTTGAAAACAACACAACCCGATAAAATGGATAATAAATAAATCAGGATAGTTTTTGACACGAATAAGTCATTTGGATGGTACTAAAAGAAGAAAATGAGTGTTTTTTTTTTCTTTTTCTATTTAGTATTGTATGTGATAATGCTTATAGCACGATAGAGCAGAATTATGGATTCGATGTATACTGAATAGTTTAGTCTGAGCTCCAAGTCTCTTGAGAATTGGATCAAGGGAATGAAATTATCACACAAAAGATTTATAGTGGCTCATCAGTTCTGAAGCTCGGCTAATCCACTCTCAAAGGAGTCTTTTGCTCCTGGAGAATGTATTGATAATGGGGGATTTTACATTGATTATTTGAGTGAGACTACGATTGCTTCTTATTTCTCTGGGGGTTATGCCCCTTATTTATAGATGGCCTCGAGCCTCGCTTGATTTTAGGCATGATCCTTGCTCTTTCTTGTAACGGTGGCTATTATTCTGCAATGGTTGAGGAGAGCGTCGGATCGTTTACGATTCTCGTGCCTGGATAAACGATAATCGTTAACGTAGTAATGCTTGGTGAAAGTCAGCTATCTTCCGTGCTGCCTTATTTGAGATGTAAATACAAGGAGTTTGAGATCTGAAGTTGAGGTCTATAGACAACTTAAGTGAATTGATTTCCCGACCTAAGATAGCATGACGTGAGCTACTGAGTTCAACCTTGAACATATTCAGAGTGCCACCAGCATGAAAATTTATAATCAAATATTTTGTACTAATATGAATATTGACACGAAGGCGACGGCAATCGTAACGATAGAACCTGAAGTTGATGTAACTCGAACTGAAAATAATATGACACAGCCCGATTTATATCTATGTCCAATAAGTTAAATTTGAAAACTAATTAGTTATGTCATTTTGCCAGGATATATTTACAGCTGGGACGGACACAAGTGCTGCTACCACAGTTTGGGCGATGACGGGACTAATGAAAAATCCGAGGGCTATGAAAAGAGCACAAGAAGAAGTTCGAAACATAATTAGAGACAAAAGTTTTGTTGATGAAAGCGATCTACAAAAACTTCCCTATCTCAAGGCAGTGGTGAAGGAGACACTGAGATTATACTGTCCAGTTCCCTTGCTAGTACCTCGCGAGTCAACCGAAAGTTGCAACATCAATGGGTATGAAATTCGGCCCAAAACGAAAGTTTTCGTGAATGCATGGGCTATTGGAAGAGATCCGGAATCCTGGGAAAATTCAGAAGAGTTTTCGCCAGAGAGATTTTTGGGCGATTCTATTGACTTCTACGGAAAACATTTTGAATTTATTCCATTTGGTGCTGGCCGAAGAGGTTGCCCTGGGATCCATCTTGGAGTTGTGAACATAGAGCTTGCTCTAGCTAACCTTGTTTACTCATTTGACTGGGAACTGCCTGTTGGTATAAAGGAGGAAGACATTGACATTGATGTCACACCTGGACTCGTTTTCCACAAGAAAAATCCTCTATGCCTTATTCCTAAGAAATATTTTGGGCATATGGATGTCCAAGTCATTTAAATCATTATTGAAGTCACATTGCTATGCAATCTTTCTTTGATGTCTTAATTTGAGAGGTTTTTATTGTGTAAATTATAAATTGTCTTTCTATGATCTTATCAATTCATGCAGTACTTATATAAAAGCTACACATAATTCTTATTCTTTTAAAATAAAATTAAACCTCCGTCAAACAATAACCATCATATGGCAGAAGTCGTTATTCTTAATAAAATAATGGATAAAGTACATTTTCGGTCACCAAACTATGCACTTTATGTTAGTTTGGTCTATAATTTTTTAATTGTATCAATTTGCTACATCTACTTTTTAATTTTTGTCATTTTGATGCAATAAAAAAGGGCACTTGAAATTTACTAACGAATATCGTCATTTATATCTCGCGTGATCACACTTGAAGTATATTATTTGAAAACTTTAGAGACTAAAGTAACGCAAACCGTAAACTTAAAGGACCAAAATGATACCAAGTTCCAAATTTAAGGGACCAAAGTGGTCACCCAGTGTGGTCACGTTAACATCGATCAATTCAAATTGTCATTTTTCAATTGAACTCAAGTGATGCAAATTAAAAAGTTTAGGGACCAAATTAACGCAAAAATTCATATTTGAGGGCCTATTAATGTGTTTTAGCTTAAAATTACCTATCAAAATAATTTATACCTTCAAACATATTATATTTTTGTTTTTCTTTCTCTAAAATAAATCAAACTTTTTTCTCTTCTCTTTCAATTTGGAAAAAAATTGAAAGGTATTATTATCCTTTTATATTAATTAAATTGTTAGTTGCACCATAGTACAAAATCATACACGATTGTACGAGGAAAAATCTCGAACCTCTAGTTGAGGGTAATGTAGAAAATGAAGATCGATTTCTGAGAAAATGAATGAAAACACCATCCTCCTGCAACAGAAACAAATTGTCAAAAATTGGGGGTTGATTGTTTTAGATCACATTTTGTAATTGATTAATTTTGTAGAATCTATTGTAAATCTGAACATTTTTCATGGTCATAATGCTATCAACCTGAAGATCTGAAAGTGTCATTGAAGAGAAAAGATCAAGCGTCAAAGTTACATCATTCAAACTCCGTATGCACCTTCATGAGTAAGACAAAGATAATGACCTAGACACCTAAGATGAACCCTTAATTATTTTAACTTAAAATGATTAGGATAAAATAGAATTTGAAGCAATCTATGTATGGCTCCTAGGTGTTTTCAAATGAAAAATATTTTTTAAACTATTTGGTGTTTTGAAAACGTAGATTGAGTCATTAGCATACCCCTCTTGAGCAACACCCTTTAGTGCCAAAGAGAATAAATTATTTTGTTTGGTTTTTGGCTTAAAAAATAATAGGGACAGCACTATGCTCGCTAGCATTCATTAAAACAGTTTCTGTATACCTTAGTAAGGAAAATAAGAAAAGGCCACGGAAAGGGATCAGTGCTGGCTCGAGCGGTCTCATGGTCGCTCGAGTAGTCTGCTCCCTCAGTCAGGATTGGAACCTCTTTTTCATTGCAGTAACAACTATCCTATGACTGCTTTCCCTATGATTGAGTGATCGTTCGTGAATCTGAATTTTCTTGTTAACTAAGACTACCTTTATTCCACACCTATAAATAGAGAGAGCCTTTCTTATAACTAGGTTAAACCTCTTATGAGATTTCTAAAAGAGAAAATACATCTTCTACCTAGAGAGCTTGGTTTGACAAATCTATTAGTGTGTGCATACTGGGAATCGTTAGCATGCCCATGATTGCTCGAGGCCTAAACGAACCATGCAACAGGGAGTTCAAGTGAAGTTAGCCACAATGTCAAAGAAAAACCTTTGGTGGAGAGATCTACGAATGAAAGGAGCATCTAGACATCTAGATTGGTTAAGGTATAAGGCTTGAATACTTGTAGATTGACTTTGAATTTAGTGGATTAGGCTTTGATGAACCAAGAAGATTTCCCCACGATTTTTCTCAAGAAGGATTTTCGCATCAATAAATCACTTGTGTTATTTATTATTTTTATGTATAAACTTGTGTTTTGATGCACACTCTGGTATTCTGTATTTAATGAATTGATTGTTTGAATATCCATATCACATATAGTTGCTTGATTGGGTTTGGGTTGCCTTGGTTAGAATCCCCGTGAGAGATTTGAATGTTGAGTGTTTGTTTGATAAAATTAATACACTAATCTATATGGGTGTTTTGGGTTGTGGTATTTGAGAAGGGTTCTCACACTTAACTTGCATATTATTGTATGATAAGATAATTGTGGTAGATTTAGGTTAAAATTGGTGGTCATCAGAGCTTAAATTTTAATTAATCTATTCATCCACTCCTCTAGGTCTAAAGTGCAATTCCTCATGTATAATCAAGTGGAAAGATCCTACACATGAAGTGTGGTATTTTTCCCTGCAGACTGGACAAACGTAGTCCAATGCTTAAGTTAATAGGGACTCTAGAAAGAAGTAAAATAAATTTGTAGGAAAAATAGTGCTTACCTTAGACTTAAGCTTCTTCCAGTATTTATATTTGTACCCTCTTCTAGGGTTCTACAATTGGCCGTGCAAGGTGGAACACCTTCACTTTAGCCAAATCCTTTGTCATTTGTATACGGGCGTCCTTAAGCTTCCTTTATGGTTTTTTTATTATCTAGGCCACATTTAATATATTCGCCTATTATTTTGGTAACTTCCTTATCGGTTCTGAACCGCCTCTGATTTCCTAGGATAACCTAGTTGTCCCTGGTTTTGTTCTATCTTTAGTAGAGTCAATCTCATGGCTTCTCACATCGTTTCTCAGTTCGGCTCATTGCTCGGCATCCTTGCTAACTTCACTACATGCTCGACTTGGTTTAGATTTATTAGGTAGGTCGGTACACGGTTCGATCGACCAAGTCTCTATTCTGATAAAGGCACTCCATCTATCAAAGCCTTTTTTTGCCACATATGCATCGTAGCCACGTGTTTATCTTCACACATCTTTCTTGGTCATTCTACACCCTTTCATAATGCTAATTGCAATCATTAAATGATCCAATCACGTACAGTCATTCTGCACCTTTTCACTTGCCCCCAGAGAATGTTTGTCGTGGGTACACATCAGCTAACGTTCTCTGCCTCCAAGCATACCTTCATTTAATGTTATGCATTGTTTCCTACAAAAGTGTATTGTGCACATCTTGTGTCTTGTGGATAGTCGTATTAAATGCATGTCCATTGCGTTTCAGTCGCTGTTTCTTTGGTGCTTCTTCCTTACTTTTTAAAGGGTCACTCTTTTAATTTTTTTCTTCACTTCCTCCATTGTTACCTCTTGGAAATCATCTTAAGCTTTTTAAGTCACTTCTTGTTCGTTTATTACTTCTTTGCCATGGCGCCCCTAACCAAGGAAGAAATTCTCATCTTCAAGACTAATTATAACATCCTAGGCGACATTAGCATTCGGGAGGTTGGCAAAGATGAACCCCTTCTTGGCTCTAGGGAATTGATCCCTATACACACTAGAGCCATCACTAAGGGTGGTGTAAGATTCCTTCTCCACTTTTTTTTTTCTATGGGTGTTTTTGGCTCTAAAGTTATGGCACATTCAATGCTGCCCCAACTTCTTCAGAATTGTGATGACGGTAGCTGCACTAAACAACCTTGTAAAGGTTGACTTGGGGTGGTGGGAGATCATGTATTGCTACATCATCAAGCCAGTGAGTAATAGCAATTACTACTACTTTGCAATGAAGAAGAAGGCCCATTACCTCATCTCCCACGTTCCTGACTCAAATAAAGGTCATGAAAACAAAATCATATTTGTCTTTGGGAACTAGGAGCATAAGGCTGGTGAGAAACCTCGTTATTGTTCGCCCTTTAAAGAAGGCACACCAGGTTTTTTATGACTTCACATCAGTCTTCCTTTAATTTCTTCATCGTTTTTGAAGTATTTTGTTCTTTCTAAGTAAAATTGTTAAAGGTAAAGTCCCCGAGTGATCAGTAAAGATGAAAGATTTGAGGAGAGTTTGGTCCTTCAACGATGACCATTTTTGCTGATTTGCTCATGTTTTTTTCAGCTATGCTCCAAACTATCACTATTTCATTGTTGTTTTGAATTGTCCCATTGAAAGTCTCGTCGATAAACAATTAGGGCTCAACGTACTTTAACTCTTTAATTTTGCAAGAGGTCCAACTCTGCAATCTCTAGAAGAGGTAGGCCTGTGAGGAAGTCCCTTGACTTTCTGAAACAAGTGGATATCTCTGTTACTGTTTCTTCTATTCCTATCGATCAACCTATCCCCCAAGTTCCTATCTTAATGAACTTGCTTGGCTAACAATAGCTGAGCCCAAACCCATACTTGTCCCAGATGATGATCCAATTGATATCTCCCCAAGTCCTTAGTGCAACATCCCTGAAAGTCCAAAATTCCAAGCACCTCCAACTCCTACCCCTACTAACAAATCCCCTTCCAGAGACAAGGAATCCCCAACTGCTATCTCTGGGCGAGGCAAACATGTGAACAAGAAGAGAAGGGTTGAAGAGGGTGGTTCATCCAACCAAGTCGAGGAGGTGATTCCTGCCTTTCACCCTACTTTTAAGGCTACAAGTAGGGCAATCAGTGTGTGGGACTCAGTAGTGGAGGACGAGAATGTCACAGTTGAGAGTACTCGGGGGGTGATTCTTTTCAACCTCTTTTTTTATCTCGTCCAAGTTTGTTTTATTGGAGATCTTTACTTACCCATTACTCTGTGGGTAGGCGAGCGAAGAGTAGTGATTTCTGATCCTATACTGTTGGCAGAAAACTTTCAAATGTCTACTATCAACTTAGGCCTCGTTATCAGAGATCAACACCCTAGGGATACCAAATCTAGTTATGATATTCCTTCAAACAAACCCTTTCGTTTCTGTGTTGTGTCTATTTATGAAGGGCTCAGCCCCAACCCACTTGGTGAAATAGTCTATTCCCACAAGAAGGTACTTCTTATTTTTGGGTGCTTTGGGCAAGAGCCCCACAATGTCTAGCCCCCATTGTGCAAAAAGTCATGGGCTTGTCAATGGATTTAAGTCTTGTTTTGGTTGCTTTGGGATTGACTATAATTTTTGGCTTTTCTCACACTACCTAACATATCATA